CAAAATAGTGGTGATCCCTCTAAATCCCTCCAGAGGGACGGATGTCAGGGATGAGGGGATATCCCAGGGGCCTCCTTGTCCAGTGGCAGGAAAAAACCACAATTCCCTGAAAAAAATAGATTTAGAAAAAATAGATTTTTTTTTCCCCCAGTCCTGATTGGAAAAAAAAAAAAAAAAAAAAAAAAAAAGCCTTGCAGGAAGGCAGGAAATTTCCAGCCCTGTTGGGAGAAGCCAGGAATGGTTTTTCCAGGTAAAATTTTCCTGGTGCTGACGGAGGCAATTATTGCAGCTGTGATGAAGGCAGGTAATTAATCTCAGGGATGGAACGTGGGAGAGGTCAAGCTTTAGAGGTGCTCATTCTCCCCATCCCTGCCCAGCTTTGGGGAGCTTTTCCTGTGCTTGGATTTCCCACCTTTGAGATCTTTGAGCCCCTCCCCCGGCTCTGCTGCTGTTGGGGGGTCCCGTGGAGCTGTGGTGGCTGAGGGTGTCCCACCCCTGGTGTGGTCCCCACATCCTCCACCCCCCTGTCCTTGGTCAAACCCCAACCCTGCCCGTCTGTCATCCCGGGATTCCGCTCTGTCCGGGATTTTCCTGCCCTCCGGGGCTGTGCAGTGGTTTCCAGCTTTCTGTGGGAGTTACTGAGGAACCTGGGAAGGGGCAGACACACATAAATAACTGACAGGGAATTTCCTATCCTGTGTTTCCGCTCGTTATCTGGATTTTCTGCCTGTTCTGTGACCTCCAGTCCGTTTGCTCCCGATGGATCCGGGGTGTTTGGACCCTCCGGAGCACCGGGATCATTTCTGTCATCCCGTGGACTGGGCTGGGTGGGTGAGCCAGGGCTCTGTGTCCCTGCACTGGGGCTGTGCCACCTCCTGCACAGGCCCTGCTGCCCCGTGGGGGGATTTCCTGCTGAATCCAACCCTTCTTTTGAGGAAAATCCTGTCCTTTAGGCCGAAAACGCAGGGAAGGGCCGCTCGTGGCCTCAAACCTCATCTCTGCACAAACAAACACTCCTTTGGCAGGGCTTTGTTTTCCCTGGGATTTGTCTTTTCCCAGGGAAGAGACTCTGGTTGCCTCTGGTTTGTGAAATGTTCAGCCTGGGAGGGTGGGAAGGGAAATGGGAGCTGCTCGTCCCCATTGGGGGTTAAAACCACTGGGCCCCTCACCCTGGGGGCATCCAGCCCTGCCAGCCCCCTCCCAGTGCCCAGATCCCACAGGGAACACTTTTCCAAGCCTCTCAGAGCAGAGGAATTCTTTCCTCCCCTGTTTGATCTGAGAAAAACCAACACAGAGAAACCCGAAGGGAGATGGGGACAAAAAAAAATCGTCCAACCCTTCCCAGCACAGCAAAAAGGGACGTATTTATCCTTGTTCATCCCGAATTTTCCCGGGATAAACACGATTTTGCTTGTCTGGGCCATAAATAACGGGTTGGAAGGTGGGTTTGGGGCTCCCAGCCCAGCGGGATTTGGGGATGCTGCCCCTGCAGCCCCGGGCAGGGATGCCCAGAGCAGCTCCCTGCTTCCCTCTGCAGTCGCTCTGCAGAAGGGTTCCTTGGGATCAGCCTCTCCCACCTCCTCCCGGCCTCTTCCCAGGGCAGGAATCAAAATCACCTTGGGCTGTTGGGCTGCAAAATGCAAACAAGGATCGAAGCCTCTCCCTCCTCCTCCTCCTCCTCCTCCTCCTCCTCCTCCTCCTCCTCCTGGCCGGAGTTCCTGGGAGAGGGACAGGCTCCACCAGGGCACACAGAGCATCCGGGGCTGGATATCCCTCTGGATCAACTCCTGAACTGATCCAGAGGGATATCTGGATCTCCCTGTGCTCCCCTGCTGCCTGAACTCTGCACGAGCCTCTCCCTGACCTCCCCAGCTTGGTTGTCTCTCCCAGAACATCTTCCCTCTCAGGGATGGTGTTTTTTGGATTTTAGCACTCAGAGCCTGCTTGCCCTGTGGCTGCTCCAGCTCTGCAGGAGCAGGGGGGTTGTGGGGCATCAGCTGCACCAGGTACCTCCTTCAGGCTGCCTGAATATTTTTCTCCTTTCCTAATCTCCTTCTACCCCTAATTCTGCCGGGTTTTTCCCACATCTTGGGGAAAAAAAATGCTCCCAAAAATCAGACTCGTCAATAAAAAGCTGCTTTGGTGTTTGCCAGCCCTTCTCCCCTCCCCATTTCCCTCCTTCCCATCCTCAGCATCCCGCGTTTTCCCGGCAGATCTGAGCCCCCCAGCCCCCCCAGCCTCTGCCCATCTTCCCAGCTCAGGGTCCCACTAGAGGGCAACAGAAAACCAGGAAAGAAACGCTGGGAAAGGGCCTGGCAGCACCACCGAGGCTCCTTTCGGTTCACCTCCCAGAGAAACGACTCCTAAAAAAACCAGCTCAGGTGCTTCCCTGTGTCCCGAGGCGGGATCTGTGTTCACCCCGGGAGAGGGGCAGAGTCCTCCACCCCCCAAAAACAACCTGGGAGGGGGAGGTGTCCCTGCCCATGGAACAAGATGAGCTTTAAGGTCCCTCTCCACACAAACCACTCCAGGATTCCATGAAAACCAGCCCCTGCTCGCTGCCCTGGCAGGGACATCCCTCCCAGGGAGCCAAATTCCCTGGATCTGAGGCAAAAAAGAGCTTTCCCAAAGCTCCAGAAGCAGGTAGATGAGCAAAACCAGAGCCAAACCTCGTCCCATCCTCCACAGCCACGTGGAGAGAGACCAGGCTGACCTTTGCAGTGCCACCTGCACCCCAACCCAGGCAAGCCCAGCAGGAGAAGGAGATTTTGGAAGTGCAGGAAGCAGCACCCGGACACCCCATCGTTCCATCCCACCCCAGTACAGCACCAGGGTCGAATTCCCAGTGTTGAAGAGGAAACCTGTCCCAAACGCTGGCCTGGGATGGTTTTATTTCCCCCGGCCGAGGTGGAGGGAGGGAAGTTTGGCCTGAACAGGGGGCCGGGTTGGGCCGGGATGGGCCGGGATGGGCCGGGACACGAACCGGGGTTGGGCTGGAGGGTGATCCCAGTTCCGTCCCGGGAATTGGGAAGCGCTCTCACCCCCACGGGCTATTTCAGGAGCTCCAGGGGGAGCCGTAGCAGCAGTAGCTGAAGGAGAGCAGCTCCTAAATCAGCCCTTCTTTATGCCGCTCCATCCGCAGCTCCCTCCCAGCGCCAGGAGAGCCAGAGCCGCATTAAATCATTTTTATCCCTCGTTCTCCCTCCTCGTCCCGAGCCGTGCTGACCTCAGCTCAGCCCCGGAGTCACGAGGAGCCAAATGGGAGCCGCAGAGCTGCTCCCTAAAATATTTCCCCATCCCAGAGCCAACCTGGGAATGGGTGTGGGGGGTGCAGACCCGTCCGAGCGGCTCTGGGAGGGCTTTTAAGGAGATCAGAGCCTGGAGGGACTGGAAAGCAGGTGATGGCAGAGGCATTTGGAAGTTTTATGAGGATCTTTTATGGAAATCATAGGAGTTTGGGACGTGCAGCCCGTTAAAGGCGCCCGGCGCCGCCGGGGCCAGCCCGGGTTAGTACCTCCATATATCCTGCAACTCCACGTTCCCGCAGCTTTTAGGAGGCTCCAGGGTCCTTCCAGCGCCGCTCTTGGATGAATATGCTGGAGTTTAACAGCCCTGGCTACCGGGAAGCTCGTTTTTGAGGGATTCATCCCTCCCGTGGAGGGGGGAACGCGGCTCTCCGGGCTCTGAGCTCTCCGCCGGCATCACGGAGGTGTCTCAGAACTGTGGGGTCATAAAGGTGGGAACAGCCCCAATGACACCATTCCCACTACACCACTTGCCTTCCTCTGGCCCCCAGTGCCACCGTTCCAGGGCAGGAGCCATCGACACTGAGCTCAGCAGTGAGGAAAACCGGATTTAACCCCCAGATGGTTCCAGTGGCTCCTGCCCAAGAGGGTTTTTCCAGCACAGGAGGGATTTGTCGCCTCCCATCCCTTCCATGCAGAGGGAAGGGGGAAATGCTGTTGCCCAGCCTGGCACCTGTGTGTCCACAAACACAAAATCCCAAATAAACTCCAAATAAACTTCCTACCCAGCCTGGTCCTCCTGCAGAGGAGATGTCGGACCCTCCAGGGAGGAGGAAAAGCTCAATGTCATCCATTTCAAAACCCCAAGGTTATAAGAGAGTGAAGGATTTGAAGGGTGGGGAGGGAAGGATTCACAGGCAGTGATGGGGGGGGGCCCATCACTGCAGCAGCCGCTTCCAGAGGGACAAAAATCAAACCTTCCCAGGAAATCCAGACCCAAAGTCTCCCCTCAGCTGCTCCATCCCCTCCCCAGAGGGCTCAGCCCCCCACCCAGGGCGTGATGCTCCCTTTGCCAGACCCACAGCAGGGTCCTGCAGCTCCCCGGGGCCAGGGAATCAATCATGGAATCATTTCGATTGGAAACAACCCCCGGGATCATCAAAGCCTTTTGCCTTTTCCTGATGCTGGAGCAGAGGGAAGGGGATGGGGAAGAGCTGGTCCCTGGGGTGATGGTGAGACAGCAGCTCCCAGGGCAGAGCCCCCCGCGGGTCCCCCGCTTGTCCCTCTGTCCCAGTCCCCTCCCTTCGTGCCACTTCCCCTCCACCAGCCCGGGATGTTCCTCTCCAGGGAGCCCCGGGGGTTTCTACCCCCATCCCAGCGCCCGCTGAGCCCCCCGAGACCCTCCCGGGGGGGTTCCTGGGCCGCGGGCACCAAAGGGTTATCCCGGAGGTGCTCCCGGCACCTGGAGGGGGAGGGAGGGAACGAGGAGGGGATGGAGCGAGGAGGGGACGGAGCGGAGTTTCACTGACACTCCGACAGGGCTGCGAGGAGCAGGCGGAGGAGCAGAGGGGCAGGGAGGGGGCACAAAGAGGGACGGGAAGGGGGCAGAAAGAGGGGCAGGGGGGCAATCAGAGGGACAGGTAGGGGAGCAACAATCGGGGAGCAGACGGGGGGACAGAGGGGCAGGGAAAGGGGACAAGCAGAGGGGCAGGGGAGCAGGCAGAGGGGCAGAGGGGCAGGGAGAGGAGCCGGAAAGGGGGCAAGGAGGCAGAAGGACAAGCAGGGGCGGCAGCGGCAGCAGGTGAAGCCGCCTCCCGCCGCCCGGACCCGGCACAACGGGGCGGGAGCTGCCGGAGCCACTATGGGCCGGGGGGGGGCCGTAGGAAGCCGCTGGCACAGGGGGACACCCCCTGCCCCTCGCTGACGTCCCTCGCTTAAAAAGAAGGGAGGGAAAAAAAAAAAAAAAAAAAGAAATAAATAAAAGCCGCAAAACGCACCCGAACCCTCCGCAAATTCGGAGCCGAGAAGAAGGCGGCGGCACCGGCTGGAAAATGCATCTTCCTCGGAGCTGCGTCCTCCTCCTCATCCAGGGGAGCATCTCGCTGCTGGTGAGCGCTGGGGAGGGGAAGGGAAGGGAAAAGGGGGCTGCAGGGGCCCGGGGGTCGCGCTGGCAAAGGGACGGGGGTTGCTGGCAGATGGCACCAATTCCCAAATCCATTCGTCCATCCCTCCCTACCCCCTGGAAAAAACAAGCGTCCCAAAACTTCTGCTATTTGGCAGCGGGTGCCGGGCAGGGCTGGCGAGAAGAAACCCCCTGATCACCCTAAAAATCTGCACTCTCGCCCCCCAGCACAGCAGTCCTGGCACAGCTGCTGGGGGTCAGCTCGCCCATCCCAGGGGGGTCTGGGCTGGGGCAGAGTGGGGGGCACAGGCCGACTCCGACCTTTGCTCCCTCTGCTCCCTCTGCTTCCACTGCTTCCACTGCTTCCACTGCTTCCCGCTGCCTCCTCTGCCTGGGCAGCCCGGGGGAATCAGCCCGGGGGTCTGCTCGGCCCCCCAGCACCGAGCCCAGCGGGTGCAGCACCTCCCAGACCCCCCCAGCAGCACCCCCAGCCCCTGGTTGGGGTTATTTTGGGGTCCCAGCCGGTGGTGGGAGCAGAGTTTTCAGAGGAGCCCCTGGAGGCAAAGGGCACTCCCCGGGTGAGGATTCCTGTCCCCTGTCCTGTCCCCTGCCCTGTCCCTCTGCTCCAGCTCCGCGTGTCCCCAGTCCGTGGCAGGTTCGGAGGTGGGAAGAGGGGCCGTGGGATGTGCTGGGTGGGTGTGAAGGTCACCAGGTGGGCACCCTCCCCTTGGCATCCCCCCCAGTGCCCTCTCCTCGGTGTCCCCAGGGTTCCTGTGCCCTGAGGTGCCACGGCCGGGCTGCACCAGCCAGGAGCAAACTGGCCCCATTCCAGCTCCTTCCACCCATTCCTGAGCATCCCTGAGAGAACCAGGGCAGGGAAGAACTGCTGCCAGAAGGGAAATATGGAACAGGGAGAGAGCAGAGAGGGAAGGGAAGCCAGGGAGAGGAAGAGGAGGGCTGGGGAAGGGGGTGGTGACCCCGGTGACCCTTCCCCTTCTCTCACCTCCTTCACTGCCGTGTCCAGGTGCTCTGTGGTCCAGAGGATCCTGGGAAAGGTGCAGAGCAGCGGGAAGCCCAGAGCCAGGAGAGAGCCCCAGCACAGAAGATAAGGGAGCTGCTCTTCCCAAAGCCCCTCCTGGCCCCAACCCTCCTGCAGAACACGACCCTGCTGGAGCTGGCGAGCGGCTCCCGGCAGCTGTGGGATATCCTGGAGAACCTGTCGGAGCGGGAGCAGCCCCCACAGCCCAGGGCACGAAGGGACTTGGGGCCGGCCCCGGGCAAGCTCAAGAAGATTTTTGGCTGGGGAGATTTCTACTCCAACATCAAGACGGTGAAGCTGAACCTGCTGATCACCGGCAAGGTGGTGGATCACGGCAACGGCACCGTCAACGTCTTCTTCCAGCACAACTCCACCGGGCAGGGCAACATCTCCGTCAGCCTCGTGCCGCCCACCAAGGCCGTGGAGTTCGACCTGGAGCAGCAGATCTTCATCGAGGCCAAGGAGTCCAAGATCTTCAACTGCCGCGTGGAGCACGAGAGGGTGGATCGCGCCAGGAAGACCTCGCTGTGCACCTTCGACCCGGCCAAGACCTGCTCGCAGGAGCACACGCGCAGCCACGTGTCCTGGGCCTGCTCCAAGCCCTTCAAGGTCATCTGCATCTACATCACCTTCTACAGCACGGACTACAGGCTGGTGCAGAAGGTGTGTCCCGACTACAACTACCACAGCGACGTTCCCTACTTCCCGTCGGGGTGACCCCCCCGGGGTGCCCGCGGTGACAGGCGGGGCTGGGGGGCGGGGGGAGGGATGGGGGGTGGTTTTGTGGGCGAGGACGGTCCCCAGAAACCAGAAGTGAGGAAGGAAGGGGAGAATTTTCCATCTTTCCCATGTCAAAGAGGAGGGATTCTAGGCTGAGCCCGGCCTGGATCTGTGGTCCTTGGAGACACAAAGGCAAGGGCTGAGTTTGGGAGATGGGAAATGGGACAGGAAGCCACGAGCAGGACTCGAGTTCCTCGGTGCAGTAAGGGGTGGTTTGCTCAGGTCTGGGCCAATGTGATCCCCAAGGGTTGGTGGCCCCAGGCCAAGGGGGCTCCAGAGGGAGGGTCACACCTGAAGCAGAGGGATGAGAGACCTCGGGAGGGGGGACAAAGGTACCGCTGGAGCCACCTCATCTGCCCCAGTCCAGTTCTTCAGCAGCAGGAGCTGGGGATGAGTTTTCCCACCACCCTTGGTGGTTTTCCCAGCACTTTGGGGTGTGAAGGGCTGTTGGGATGGACACAGGGAGCTGGGATGGGTGGGAAGGACTGTCCCAGGGTGCCACCCCGGCCCTGCTTACCC